ATGAATCGGAAAATATTATTATATTTGTTGTTCTTTCATAAGAAGTACGGTAAATCATATTTAATATTGTACTGCTGATAATACTCGTGTTCTTCCGTGTTATTTTTCCCCTCCAAGGCTGTAGGCCTTCTATCCCTCTATCTATGGCTCTGCAGTCCTTCTGTTGGACTGTGACCGCTTTTTCAGTTTCTTAATCCTATACACCGTCGGTAGAACGCCTTAAACGGGGGATCAGCTCGTCGCAAGGCCGCTACCTACACACAGAACAGCACAGACAAAGAATAAACGCACACAGACATCCATGCCTTAAGTAGGATTCGAACCCACGATCCCAGCATTCGAGCGAACAAAGTTCATAACTTAGAACGCGCGACCAGTGAAGTTTATATACGTATAATTCCATTTGCTTAGTTACAGTTTTTATATGATTATTCTGATGATGTTCTTTCGTCTTCATGAGGCAAATCAGCATTCTTTTTTGATGTCACACTTTGTATTTTCCTGAACAACAGGGGAGTTTTAGACTGAATTAAACATTCCCCTATGAATCAAGTCGCGCCCATTGCGAAGATCATACGTAATTTAAAATGGGAAGCACATAATTGCAACATTAACTTCTGATCATCGAATCTCCAGCTAGTTCATGATTTCACACTCTCCCTTCTGCAGAATTAATAGACAGCGGCCACTGTCTACCGCATACAAGCCAATTCATTTTCCATATCCCGACTTTAATATTGTGACATATACGTCCGTTGCTAGGCAACGACCGCGAAGCAGACAACGACCATTGCTATGCAACAGCTTCGTAAATACACAACAGTTCTGGAGTCGTTGGTAGGTATCGGCCCGCGCGCAACAATGGAAGTATTTGGGAGCGATATATTCTGCATGGTCCGCTCCGAGACTATATCACTCGACCTACCGAGGGTTAGTGAAGTGCAGTGCAATGCAGAGGAGTGAATCGAGTTGGCGTGAGATAGAGGGCTGCTGCAGTTGAGTCCTTGTGAGACGTTGCTGTTAGAAGCTGGTAGCTGAGGCACGGGCATAGTTCGGGAACCCAGAGTAAGGAGAACGTCCGTCGTTGGAAGCCGTTACCAGACAACGACTGGCGAAGACACAGCAGACTGAGAAGACTTAGTACGTGCTGTAGAAATTTGCTGAGCATGTAAATTAGAGATAGTGCTATTGTTACTTGTAGTTAAGATCTGTAAGCGGTCAATAATTCCAATCACCAATCAAAACCCCGTCTATAGTTACTCATACACGTGATAGTATTTCCTTAAGCTTTATAAAAATGTGACATCACTGCATATCCATTAAGTAGCTGAAACAAGTTCAAACCATTCGTAGTAGTACAAGATAAGGAAATAATTTGTTATTCCGTTTTTATATTCTTTAAAATATGATGTACAAGCTACGTCACATTTTATTTTCCAGCGCAGATTGCGCTGCCATAACAGAACAGAATCCTTGTGGTTTGGGAATGAATAGGCAAATACATATAAAAGTATTATCTGCACAAAGTTATTTCCTTGCTTCTGGTTTCTCTTTTGTAATGTGGGCTGTTTTATCTTTACAGGTAGTGACAGTGTTTAATTTATAACAATTTATGATTCAGAGTCGATTAGGAAGGTTTCGAACGGCCTGTTTTAAAGCAGTGCTTAGGTTTACGGGTTCTGAGAGTTATGTTGCCAATGAGAAGCCGATTAGATGAGGTAAATAAATGAAGATTCCATCTCAGGGAGACACGAAGAAATCCCCAAATTCTACATAATCGAACTCGTTTTAAGGTGTTTGTATTTGATTTCAGCTATTGAAAGTCTTCGTTTGTAATTGTTTGTATACATTAAATCACAAAATAGATTTCGTAATACGTAACAAGCTATGATCAGGGTTAAAACCTGTAACACAGTTACGAAGCCCGAGATATACACGTATAAGACAAGGGAATCAATTTTCATTTCCTATACCTTAAGTTTGTTTCAGCTTCTTTTCATGACTTGTAATATTTATCATGTGATAATTTCACAACCATGTCAATACTTAGCCCAATGGAATGTCGTAATTTAGTACGCATGTTTTGGGATGATTTCGCTTTAACACTACAGAGGTCATAAGGTCGCGCACAATCGCACGCAAGTGATGTAATTGATAATTCTCTGACTGAAACTACGAAGTTTAAACGGGCTTTGCTACGTCATGTATTACGTCACAATCCGTATCTCGAGTTCCAAGGACAAGGAAGGAAAGATTGGGGCCGGAAGTATTGTCTAATGTGATTTAGAAGCTTCCGGCAATGTGTCCGAAATTTGATTCCTCAGTTTTTATCGCTTTTAGCCTACACATATTGGGGTAAGAAAACCCATAGCTGAAGCGGTTAGTCGCTGGCTTCCCACCGCGGCGGCCCGAGTTCGGTCCCGGCTCTGGTCAAGTGAGATTTGTGGTGAACAAAATGGCACTGGGGCAGGTTTTCTCCGAGTACTTCGGTTTCCCATGCCAATCTTCAATCTTCATTCTTCATTCCACCAATTGCTCCACAATCACCCTCACCTATCATCTGGGGCTGGTACAATAGGCCAGAAGTGGCCGCAGTACAAGGGACTTAGTCCCACCCCACTAGCAATAAAAAAAATATATACTGAAGAAAAAAAGGAAATATGAGGGTTGTTCAAATGAAACCTGTTGGCGTGTTTGGCCGTGTTCGGTGGTACAGTGGTTCTAGGAGCAACCCGTGGTATACATTAGAGGAGGGTATCCATCGGTTGGTTCCCCAGTGGCGTCTCTGCGTGTGAGTATTATTTCAACGGTCCCTGCTTCTTCACACATTGGAGTTCAATGTTAGCATCGCGAGTGGCTCTAGCAACGTCGGAATTGAACCTCCTATCACACTTTCTGGAGAAATGCGTGGTCAGTTCTTGCATAGGCCCCTGTATCCGCGTCTTGACCTCTTCTGGTGTCGCCAAAACAGAAGGATATACGTAGATGTTGTCCTTAGGTAAAGGTGAATAAAAAACGGTAAATTTGTCCCTGTGCTTAACTAATTCAGCACTACGGCATGAAGATGTATGGGGAGTGGATGTATAGATCCACGTGTTCTTGACCTCGACACTAGCTGGAGGTGAGTGGTCAACTCCATGCGCCGGCCACTTAAACCTTGGGGAAAGAGCCCCCAGTATCAATTGAATAGGAGGCTTGGTGGGCCACATAACAGGTCTGGACGGCGTGGAGAAGAGAAAAATTATGCCGTTACCGGGAATCTACCTTCGACCCTTCGGCTTTCCAGCCCGTAGCCAGTCGCTATACCGACTGCTCTGTCCCAGCTCCCATTGTCGTTAAACAAACTTCCGGAAAAAGAAAAATCCACGGGGGTGAGATCTCTTCATCTTGTGGGCATTGCTGCATTTCTGACATTTGACCAAGAACACTTATTAGCCTCGGGACTGTTCCTTTCATATTCAAATGACTCTGTTTCACTTCCGCATACGTACTAATTGTGCCTATTCACTCCTCCTGACCAGTAAGATCTCACCACATATTTAAGATAACATGGGGATACTGCCAGAATGCGCAGTAGGCTGCAACCTAGGCGCAAATCTGGAACTTTTTGTGTCCAACTTCCCAGCTAGTATACATTTCAGCTGTACCTTAAACATGATTTGAATAATAAAAGATTAAAACCGTAAAGATAATTTACAGACATGTAAGATTTGAGGCTTTCACGGCGGTGACTATGAAGAAAGCAGTCTTCTGGGATTTGGCACCGTGTATATGTGGTGTTAACACCACATATACAAGGTGCCAAATCCCAGAAGACTGCTNGTAATTGATTTCTTGTCTTTTCCATATATTAATGTTTATTGCCATTCTTCCTTGTAGTCCCTTAAAAGCGACATTTGCACCACATGTGTACGTTGAATGTTTATACATTGAATTACAATAGATTAGGTGGATATAATAAATATATTCTGCTGTAAATATCACACGTTTGAAACGTACGAGTATTCCTCTTGAAGTCTTCCTCTCAGTTTCCTTCTGTTAGTCTGACTGTAATGCTGCAATTTAAATATGACTGTTCAGTACTTTGGTAACTTTCTCGGAAAGACGAATGCAAAACAGGCCGTACTATAATAATTTAGTAAACAAATTTACGATTTCTGAAGTAACATACATCCATAACCTAGTTAAAGAATTAGACGCTAAACATACAGAACATTCACAGGCATATACATACATATCAAGGCTTTGTTTGAATGTGATGTGTTTTTTTTGATATCCTTAAAGTAAAGGAAGTATAGGATATTATTATTATTATTATTATATTATTATTATTAACTTCTATGTGTATGTACATGTAGTGTCCTTTCTCGCCACAAATGGCATAACTATTGGAAATGTACTTAATCTATTTTTCTCGCCTGTTAAAGCTAACTTGAAATTTTCTTGGAATTTTTATTAATTTATTGCTATTATATAGACTGTCATATTTTGTATTTTGCTCTTTAATTATTTTTGTGTATTTCTACGTACTCGTCCTAACTTTGTAATTGGCCTCTGGGCTATTAATTAAATCACGTATCAGCGATTTACGACTTTCTAGGCATATAGGAGATAAATCAATCTTTATGGTCTGCAAGCATAGGTCTACTTCTGAATCACTTCCTGACCCAAACTTTAAAGATTTATATGGCGGCTGAACTGATAATTCCATAAAATGATTTATGCAGTGATTACTCTGTTATCAGTGATCATACATGATATTTTTATTGCTAGTTGGGTGGGATTACGTCCCTTGTACTGCGGCCACTTCTGGCCTATTGTACCAGCCTCAGATGATAGGTGAGGGTGGTTGTGGAGCAATTGGTGGAATGAAGATTGAAGACTGGCATGGGAAACCGAAGTACTCGGAGAAAACCTGCCCCAGCGCCACTTTGTCCACCACAAATCCCACTTGACCAGACCCGGAATTGAACCAGGGCCTCCGCAATGGGATGCCAGCGACTAACCGCTTGAGCTCTGTCGCGGCCCTTATGATACATGATAAATAGACACCCTCTTGTTAATACCCACATCTTGCCTGGAGTGAGCTCGAATTATTATACAGAGAAGTATCTTGACTTGCCTAATTCATAGTCTAATAACATTTCGTACTAATTTTTCACTGTTTATTTTATCTCAGGCTGTTATGTAGACCTCAAACCAAAATGTATTCTAAAATCAAGCATGTTATATTGTAATGCGGTCTGCATGTGGCATCTTGCCACTTATTGAACCAAATGTTCAAATACTCCCTGGTCACCCAAATCCAAGACTACATCTGCAATTCTCTCAGAGAAAAACTTGTCTGCATCACCTTCGAAGTTTGAGTCTGAAAAGGTATCTCGCAGGATGAGATGTGCTGCCAGGAATCCATATAATGATGTGAAGTCAACTTCTCGACGTAAATCCGCAAGGCTCGGGCTGATATTCAAACCCAGTCGATGTAAATTGCGACTGAGGGACCAATGGTAGGTTCTTATGAAATCATCCCTGTACCGCTCCCTCACGCTTGACGTGGTACTTGTGTAAAGGAAATAGTTGATGTCAAGAGCCGGCGATCCGTAACGACACGTCTGAAAATCCAGGAACTTCACAGATACTGGTTCATCTTTTGAATAACGGAACATGATATTTTTGGCCCATAAATCTCCATGGGTAAGTGTCAAAAAGGGTTCTCTCGGTTTCAGGAATGTCAGCAGGTGATGATAAGTGTTGTGCAGAATTCCTTCTACCTGTTTCGCATAGCGAGATGTCTTTGGATTTTTTTGTATGATGTCAGTTGTGTTCCTTGCAAGTTGTGCAAGATGTTCCTCGTGTATTGAAATTCTTTCCCTTGTAAACTGTACCTCTCGACCAACTTCATTTAAGGCATTGGTTGTTTCTGTAGAATCAGACTTCTTGAGCACGTAGGATGTAGCATGGAAGCGACCCAGTTCAGCAAATACCAGTTTGCTGTGGGCAGCGTCCAGTCCTGTCCCATGGTCACCTGTACGGTAACCATGCGATCCAAGATCGTCTAGTACTATAAGATCGTTGCTGGCATGGTAGCTCCTGGCGAACATATCCAGAGGATCATCTTGGTGCATGGCGATCAGTTGAGGAATTACAGTTGAATACATGAGGGCCTCCTTTTTGAACAGCTCCCTGAAGTTGAGTACCTGAAGGAAAGTGGTGGAATACAGAATGACTAGGACAAAATATGTACTTCAAGAATTACGTATAATCGGAGAAAAGTGTAATTAATATGTTTGTAGATAAAAAGTTGCCGATTACAGTGGCCACGCGGTCTAAGGCATGAACTGTCTTCGACCATTCAAACACTGGGATCGTAGCTTCGAATCACACTTGAAGCATTGATGTTTGCGTTTATTCTGTTTGTCTGTCCTATGTGCAGATAGCGGCCTTTCGACCGGCTGATCCCCCGTCCAAGGGGTCCTACCGACTGTGTAAAAGATTAAGAAATTGAAAAAGCGGCCAAGGTCCAACAAAGGGCTGTAGAACCACAGATAGATAGATGGATAGATAAAAGGTTAATACAATAGCATGTTGTAAGAATCCATTCCAGTTTCGCCTGCACAGTTCGGAATACATCGATAATAATGAGATAATTTGATTGAATAGTGTATTTTGTACCTGTGATAATGATACTATTGCAAAAGTTGTACTGAGACACAAGTGGCTTTCACGATTTTTTAAGTTCTATTAACATATAATTAGTAGAGTTTGTACTAATTCTAAAATGTTCTGACGATGATGTATTACGCTGATCATTGGCCCAGTGACTGTAATTAGCTCCTTTCAACAGACCCAACTGAGTAGGTACTCCCATCTGAACACGGGAGAAGATCCAGCTCCCGAAGCACGGACAAGTCCAGAGAACTAATAATACTAAATTAGAGTTTCTGTCGGTTGCTACGTAAAGCAAAGTACTACGTTAATAAAAAAGTTTCTAGAATCGATTCCGTCTTGTAGCAATCAAATTATGAAATGTGTCAGTGTGACAGCAACCCACTGACTCCCGCGATTCAGTGGGTAGAAGTCTTGCTTCTCATTAGGGAGTCCTGCTTTCAAATCTCAGTCCGAGAAGCGCTGTTATGACCGATATTTTCATGGGTTCCCTCAAATGCCATGGTAGTATTTCAAAATTAAGGCACGACAAATTTGTCTCACTTCCTTTCTGATACGTTATTGACTAATCGTCATATCATTAGGCGTTCTGAAGACTGAGGTGCCGTCAGCTTCCTTAAGTAGACCATAAATAAGCAAATAAATAACAAAATGCCAGCCATTAATCTGAAGGCCGGAGTATACCATTCAGGAAGATCAGCACAATAAACCAGAATGAATCCTGCCGGCAGGAGTGTAGGATATATTGTGAGAACTAAACCGGTGAAATGCCTAGTTATGGAGTAGAGAGTGGGAGTGAATTTCCGGCAGGGTCAACGGTAATATTGTAGTTTCCTTCACCACCACGCCCGGAACGACTTCGAGGCCCAGTCAATGTAACATCTAATAGATTTGCCCACGGAGAATGGGCGCATTAACCTCGTACCGAGGTCAGCAATGAGTGGAGCTTGTCCTCTGCATTTAACTTACCATCATATTACCTAAGCTCAGGAATAACTTTAAATTTTGCGTATTTTGAATTTAGTTTAAGCCATGAAGGCATATAGGGAGTGGATATATGAATCCACGTGTTCTTGATCTCGGCAACGTTGGAGGTGAGTGGTTAGCTTCACGCCCCAGCCGCTTTACTCTAGTGGAAAGCGCCCCTGGTACCCACTGGGTGGGAGGCTGGATGGCCCCAGAACCGGTCTGGACGACGTGAAGAAGAGAAAAATCTTGCCCCTGCTGTGCCTCGAAATCCGACCCCTCAGTCGTCCGGCCCTGTAGCCCGACGCGTGAACATAGTATTTTCATTTAATTTGTTACAATTTATTCTGGTCTACCTCGTGAAGTGAGCAGTACTCCATCTACCCACCTTGGCTTTTGGAGACGCGGAATTTATTGACTTGAAGATGAGGTTCAGCTGAAAGTGGCCAGTACAAAGGACCTTGATAGTCATGACGTTGCTGGTTTGTCTGGGACCTCCTTCACGCTCCTGCTCCAGAAGGAAACCAGCCACTTCTAATTCGCTGTACGTTCCACCCAGGATTTGTTGGAGGAAACTGTTGTGCAGCTGAGGAATATTATTTCTCGGTCTTACTCTCAGCCTCCTGTTTGTTCTCACAGGTTCCTGGGTGTTGGAGTCCACTTCGTCGAAGTCTTGACCGTTTAGTTCCCATCGTGTACTCAGGCTTCTTACCAGGCCGGCGGGAACGTCTGGCTTGGCTTCTTTGCTCATTCTGTCAAAACAACATTTTTTTTTTTTACTTTTTGTCTTCATAACTGTATTCCATCTTTATAGTAAAAATCATGGCGTACATACAGGCTAATTACTATACGTACCATCTGCTTTAACATACTAAAACTCTGCATTCTGCCAACAAAGTGTATCTGTGCGCTTCATATGATTCTCACAGTAAACAGCGATTGCCTCCATAAACAAATTTAACTCGGTTGTTCTTTGTAGCGGAGGCGTAATGTGTTTTCTGTGAGACACTAACCGAATTTGTATATATTATTTGGAATCAATTTAATCTTTTTCTCTCTCTCTCTCTCTGTCTTTAGTCTTTAAATGTAATAACTGATTTGAGAATTAGGCATGTAGAGAATCTTCTTGGAAAAATCTGTGAATAGCTGTGTTTACTTTCATACCCTCTTAATCTCACCCGGGGTCACGCCGTAGCGTAGTTGGTTGAGGCACTATCCTTCAAGCTGGAAGGTCGCTGATTCGATTCCCGATGAGGTCATTGGACTTTTCTTCGATTTACCTAATCCTTCCAGCCGCACTATGACCTTGAGGTCGACTCAGCCTCTAACAGAAATAAGATCTACGAATTTTCCTGGGGGGTGGCGGGCAAAGGGCGGCCGGCACATAAGGCTGACAACCTCACCGCCATCTGTGAACCGATTGTCTAGAAAATATGGAGCCTCAACATCTCAAAACCCTATGGGCCTCCACGGCCTGTTACAGGGTTAGCTGTACCCTTTTCTACCTTATTAATTTCACCCACATCTTTCAGTGCTTCAAGAAAGTAGACAGTGCTGCATTATTGCGCATGCTCATAGAATCTCATCATTTCACATATGCTCCGAAATGTCATGAATTATACTGCAGCATTTTAAATCTCTTCAATGCGGTACTATTTTATTGCACGTAATATATGATTGTCATATACATATAACAGTCGGATGTGTCATCCGTCACTGTGTTAGTGTTAATGTTTAAATGGCAGGATATAGCAGTGTTCTTCAACTTCCGGCCCGCGGCCCGGTACCGGGCCTTCATCGTATACATAAAAAAAGAATTTACCGGGCCGCGGTCTCACAAAGGTTGAGAACCACCTCGCACATGCGCCGTCTTACCATGCAAGCTATATATACCGCTTGCTCAAAATAATATTTAAAAAGAAATGGTAAACGTAAACGTCTCTTGGGATTTCAATGAAACTCATATAAATCGTGTAAAATACGCCTAAGCATGCGTATAAAAAGATTGATTTCCTTCAACTTAATCTTTACACAGAAAAAGTTCCAGTTCGAATGATCCGAGAAAAGGTACAGGAATCTATGTTGAATATAAACTCCGTGTTCTTGCATTAGGGCTTGAACTCATCTCTTCCACTGTTCGATAGCTGATCGGATGTTATCTTGTGATACGAGAAGTCATATATTTTCAGCCTTTTGTTGCAGTAACACCAGGGACTGGAAGGCTTCTCCCTAGCTTTTGTACAGTAACTGTTTAAATTGTTTCAATATAGCAATCCAAAAATTTAGATCTGGATAATATGCTACGAGTAAAAAGTCTGTGAATTTCACAAAATCAGCTATAGCGTAATCCAACATTTTCAGAGAGCGGGCAATATTAACGAAAAATGAATATTTTAACATAAAATCTTTGGGAAATTTATTTATAAATCAATCAAATGCAGTATATCTTTTTCTACACATACCCAGGCACGTCTTACACAACTTTTATAACTCTCATTTAAATTCCTAGAGACGCCAGTTTTTACCATTTAAAGAATAAAGGGTAACTTTTATGCCACACTATGGACCTATTGCGGATAAATCTGAACTTGGCGTAGTTGTACTATTGTGCACTGTATAATGCCAACAAGAGCGGAAACGTGTACGTTTTCAAGACTCTCTATTTGATATATTCATATCTCATTGACACTGATGTTCATTTATCGAAGATACGCATCTGTTACAACAAATTAGCTACACTGTAGATGATTGTCACACTGCACAGTCAGAAGTTGTTTTGAATTTATTTCGTTAAAAGTACACCACAGCGAAACATATTTCAAATAGGAGATGTGGGCGTGAATGATATGTACATAGCCTACTCTTTGTTTGTTTGTTTCTTTTCCTATTTTTTTCTTTTTTGCTCTGAGGCTGTATTATATTTGTTGCGGCCTTCGTGTAGAAAGGTCGTAATTTGTCGTAAGATTCCAGAATTAAATTCGGTCAACTTTTAATATGGATTCCCAGCACCAAATTTCGTACAGTAATTCCGGCCATGAAGAATGCAGCTGAAGAGTCACTGCGTACAAAGTACGCATAAGCAGTAAATTCGTAAGACTAGGATACCATCAAGATATTCTGAAACATGCTACGATGCATAACTGTAAAATTATTTCATGCATTTACGTACTCGGTATAGCGGGGGCACGCGGTAATATAGTTGGTTGAGGCACTATGCTACGAGCCGGAAGGTCGAGGGTTCGAGTCACGATGATGTCGATCTTTTTAAATTGACCTAACCATTCCAGCCGCCTTATGGCCCTGGGGTCGACTCAGCCTCTAAAAATGAGTACAACGAATCTTTCTGGGGGGTAAAGTGCGGCAGGTCCATAAGGCTGATAACCTCAACGCCATCTGTGAGTCGGTTGTCTAGAGAAAATTTGGGAGCCTCGACGTCTCACTAACATATGGGCCTCCACGGCCTGTTACAGGGATAGCTTTACCTTAACTTTTACTCGGTATAGCAACAGAATTAGGCCTACTGTTTATGAAGATATATAATTCAAATTGCCCAAGATATACTAAAAAACGCAGAAATAGAAACTAATCTTTGCTATATATCTGCTCACTTCTCTCATCTTCCATCCGCCATTTCCACACTGGAGGCAAGTAACAGCAATACTACTTTGTATCAATCGTTAAGTGTATTCAGAACCACTGTTTCCAAATTGAATTCGGTTCCTGGAAGAGTTGGTGAAGTAGTAAAGGAAAACGTACACAACACGAACAAATTTGTGAAACTGAAGAAATTTTTAGCCGGTAAACGTACTGAACTGCCAAGTAAAAAATCCACTACAGAGGAACAAATAACGGCTTTTGTACATGCGCCCTTAAATTCCTGTGAGCTGGAAAGAAGTTTTTCCCGCTAAAAGACATCTTGCAAGAAAATAGGAGACGACTAACTATGGAAAACATAAAACATTTAGCAATTGTGAACTGCAGCAGAAAAGTTAGCAGTAACTTAGCCGACAAGCGGCCGCCGCTCGGTCGGTATAGTACGTTTGCAGACTAAAACCACGGAGTTTGTTTGTTTTTTGTTTTGAACTGTAAGAGAAAAGAAGTTGAAAGCTGGGAGAGCTAATTTTGTGTGTACCATTAGTTTTTTAACTTATAATAAAAAAATATTACTTTGTTACATGATTTGTATTTAAGTATAGCTTTTCACTGCAAGTGAATCATTCAGTGAATACATAAAATTAACTTAAATGTTGATTTATTGGTCTTAAAATAATGTAAAATAAATTTTAATATTTTGTATGAAATTTTATATGCATAATTTACATGCAAAATTTGGAAGCTTTTCATGCATAAATGCATACATATTTAGCGATTATTAGGACATAAAAATCCGGCCCCTAGTTATTATACATCTGCTCAATTGTGTTTTTCAAGTGCAAGAGATGTAATTAATATCGTTAATAACTGTACTTGCTATGATTATTAATTTCCATGTCTTCCTACTGTAAACTAACATAATAAGGCACCTAATTACAATGACTACTTATGAAGGATATTTTCTTACCCTTAACTTCTGTACTAGAAACGTTGTCTTGACCAAACACCTTGAATGATGAGAGGAATATGAACCCAGTTAACTGTATTCATAGAAATATGTCCTAGAGATTAGATTACATTGTTAAGCGTCATTACTCTTTTGTTGTTTTAATCTATCATTTGCATTTATTAAACCCTGTCCCCCTTATGTGCAAGCTCACGAAGTTAACAGTTACTCACTGCAGATAAAATTTTGCAAATCATATTTGAAAAAGAAGAAGTTTATCTTATAAACTTATTGCAGACACACACACATTTATTTTCTGACGTATAAGATTAGACAATTCATTTCTTTGCTTCTTTTTTTAAGGTTATCATATGACAACTCCATGGCAAAGTGCCATGAAACAATAAATGTAAAGAATTTACATTAGTTAATTATGCAGTCACACACACACACACACACACACACACACACATATATATATATATACATACTGCGATTTTTCTCTAGAAACATGTTTCCTGTATGTAAGATTTGAGGTTTTCATGGCGATGATGAGTATGAAGAATGCCGTCTCCTGAGATGTGGTGCCATATAGATATTTTGTTAACCGACATTTCGGAGGAACATATCGCCTCCATCTTCAGAGTAAGATATCTGCGAACGATGAACCAGTGTGAGCAGGTGTCTGGGCTACAGAATCTGTAATTTTATGTTTAGTGCAGCATGGTATCATGGCTCACTTTTGTTCCATAAGTACGTGCTTTGAATCTCGCCCTTAACCATCTACTTTGCCTTTGATTTTTGACGTGTTCTTCAGTTCTTTCAAGGTGATGTTAGATATTGTCTTAAATTAGTTCATTACGGTTTTATCCTCCCCAGTTTCTCAAGCATTGATTGTGATATGAATTACTATTTCACGTTCCAAAACCAAGTGTGACCCTATTAAATGAAATTCTCTCCCCTCATATGAAAAAAAAAAGTAATATCATATATCCTTCTTCAGTTACGTGATTTTACATATAAACAAGCACAGCAATGCCCTCAGTAACCTTGTCACTTTTCTTGATCACCTTCAAGTTATAACTATAGTTTGTTGCTGTTGAATAGTGTAGTGTCTACAAATAACAATTTGACTCAGAGGACTCCAGTAATGCTGTACCAGAGATTGATGGTTGTAATTAGTTATGTTTGTATGTGAATCCAATATGTACCATCTACATATAACGTGACATTACACATGTAACAGTAGGTAGCCACTTAGCTCTTAAGTGGTTATGACAGTGAAATATTTAAGGCACCAAGATGTTGTGAGAAAAATGTTACGAGCTTTACACTTGTTATTTCATTGCACATTTCAGATACACACTGTAAAACAAAAAAGAAAAAAGCTCAGGGAACAGCCATGTCACTATAGCCTCTTGAATAACTTTCATGTAAAATTGTAAAAGTTAATACAAGCAAAAAAAAAAAACCACAGGATAATAGAAAGCAAAGACTGTTTCTGTATTTATGGATTTCTTGATGTATGAGCTATGATTATTTGTGTATTAAAGTATATTTCATTATTAATTGTAATTAATCAATATTAATTCTAAAAAAGAAGGATTCTTTTCTTCTCTTTCTTATAAATGAGGAATTTTGAATGTCTGAAGATGTAATTTGAAACTCTGAAGCTACTGTTTAGTTTACTTGTACTTTTGTTGCAGAATTGTGTGAAGAATGGGCTCTTGCAAGTAACAAGGAATGTGAACCACATATTCCAACAGATGGTGTCACATTCATGGTCAAATATTTGGGAAGTACTTTAGTGGAAACTCCCAGTAATGAAGCAGCTACTGCAGAAGCTATAAAAACCATCATCACTATGGTAAGAGAAGCTAATAATATTCAATTAAATAAATGAAATCAAAATATACATTATGAGAATACAATATACAATGATTTATACAATGATTTGTGTATTTGTTTTTTCTTTTTTCTTTTTCAAATGTAGTATCTACATATTGCTTAGGATTGTAAAATGTTGTTAGTATCCTTGTAACTTTGTAGGTTTGTTTGTTAAGTTGTACTCCTGGATAAATCAATCAATTAATCAATCAATATAGTTCGTAGTATGCTTGTAACTATGTAGATTTATTTTGTTAACTTATATTACTGAATGACGTGTCCAAATGTTACTATGTAGCAAAACGGATGAAAATACAATAAAATACAATACAATACACAGATGTTTGTAAAGCAAGACAGAATCTGTCTCTGGAAGGTTTGTAATTAAGAACATATAACACTTCGAAAAATGCCCCCCCCCTCCCCCCAAATAGTTTAGATATTACATTGAACTGGAATATGTTCCTGGTTATTTTGTTTTGGTCCCCCATCCCAGTGCGTTCAGACTTTAAGCACCAAACTGCTAGGATCCATCAAAATACATGTAAGTTTGTTAGAACACAAAACCACTAATCTTTAAGGTTGATTCACACATACCAGGCACTGTTATTGCTCTTACTTCTTCCTGATAAGGCTTCATTTTGTATATATACAAAGGTAAGGTAAAGTTTTCCCTATGCTTAACTAATTATGCACTATGCCATGAAGTCATATGGGGGAGTGGATGTATAGATCCACATTTTCTTGACCTCAGCATTAGCTGGAGATGAGTGGTCAGCTTCACGCCCTGGGGAAAGTACTCCTGGTACCCATTGGATAGGAGGTTGGATGGACCCTACAGCCGGTATGGACAACATGGAGAAGAATTAAAGTGCAATTCATTATTCTTTAATGCTAACTTCTGAAACATAATTTTGTAATACTGCATGCTATGAATACAGATATATATTGGACTCTTGCGGCCTTTCACTTTTGATTATTCAGTGGACCAAATCAGTGAAAGCTCCTTTTGATTATTCCATTTTATTTTTCAGGCCAAAGCTAGTGGGAAAAAACTACAAAGGGTAGCACTGTCAGTGAATCTCCATGGCATAAAAGTAGTCGACCTTGGCACAGAAGATACACATCTTGAGGTTTCTATATATAGGTAAGTTTAAAGGGAATCATGACTCAGCATACATTGCTGTAATTAGTCATGTATTACATGACAATACTCTCTAGTACAATAGTACAAAACTTGACTTCAGCAGCAGTAGCATCAGTAGTAGTAGTAAGCACACACAGGATTAAACTTATGCAATATACTGTCATCATCAAGGCCACCTTTACTTCCTGACAGAGCCTTTGCCATTTGGTAACTAGCTAATAACATTAATGCTTATAACTCCATATAGCAGGGTGCTTCTTGAAAAGCTGATAGTCCCTCAACTAATCAGACAATATCTACCTGTACTTCTTTTGGCTTATTTTGGACTTCACCCATCGTCTGGTATGTAAAAGACAAAAAAACCACGACATGGTCTTTTACATACCAGACGATGGGTGAAGTCCAAAATAAGCCAAAAGAAGTACAGTATACACCATCGTCAGAATCCTTTCAAGAATATCTACCTGGAATCTCAAGTTTCATTACCATATGCACAAGAGCATTCTACTGCGCCCTCTCCTGAGGCAGGTAAATTCAGTCCACATCTGCACACCTTATTTCTTTAAAAGTAATTTTAATATCATTCTCCCATCTATGCTCAGCCCAAGTAATGCCCTGAATGTAGGTTTTCAACTAAAATGTATACATTTCGTACCTCCCTCATGCATGCTAGAAGACCCGTTCATCTCATCCTCCTCCATGTGACCACCCTAATAATATGAATTACAAATTATGAAGATCATTCTAATAGCTGTACTATCACCATCACTAGTGCTACAACAAAAACTGAACAACATTAACAACAACAATAACAACGATGACGATGATATTGATGACAAAAATAACAACATTATTGTAACATTTATAATACAGTACATACTAATAGGTGTGTGGGGCACGTGGTAATGTAATTGGTTGAGGCACTATGCTACAAGCCGGAAGGTCACGGGTTCAAGTCCCGATGAGGTCATTGGATTTTGTTCAATTGACCTAATCCTTCCAGCCACACTGTGGCCTTGGGGTCGACTCAGACTCTAACATAAATGAGCAACAAGAATATTCTTGGAATATTCTTGGGGATAAAGAGTGGCTGGGGCGTAAGGCTGACAACCTTGCCGCCATCTATGAGCTGATGGTCTAGGAAATGTGCGAACCTCAACATCTCACAACCCCATGGGCCTCCATTGCCTGTTACAGGGCTACCTTTACTTTTTTACTTTATACTAATAGGCGTGTGTGAGTAGTAAAACAAAATTTGAAACAACTTGATTCTTGTCATACACTGAGTACCTTGTTCATTTAGCTGAATGTTAGATAGACCTACAAACCATCCCTATTGAACATTGAATTTTCAACTGTATTTCATAATGTGAACCCTTGGAACTGTCTTACAGGTTTTACTATGCTATGAATTGGAGCTCTTACTTCTGGTGAAATATGCTTTTACTTTTATCTTTACTTTATCCTTTTGGTCAAACTATTAATGTAGGACATGTCAGTAAGGTACATGACCATAAATGTATATAAATTTCAAAATTTCAATTCGACTTCAATCAGACACAATACTATACAAGAGAAGTAATCTTTACATAAAGCAAACATAATCCAGCATCACATTTTACTAATTAGTGAAACATAGACTGTGAGCTACAGAGTAAAACATATGTTATGGAAGAAAAGATTACATCTCCCTCTTGAAATGTTGCAGTTTTTCTGATTTACAAATTTGAACTGGGAATGTAATGGGTAATTCAATTCATATTTTCACTACACTTTTTTTTTTTAATTATTTTTGCAAGACTGAACATCAGATCCAGTCTTTGTCATGTATTGTGGTCATAAAGTTCTGTACTTTGTTCTAACATCTTTGTTTATTTTTATACAGTGCACCATTCCATTTAATTCTATACGTGCACGCCATATGAAGTATATTTAGATCCTTAAAAAGTTGTTTACATGAAATATGTTTCCATATGTCAATAATTATTCTTTTACAACTTAAAAATGATTTCATTTTCTGAACCATCACCCAAGAAGAGTTACACCATACCTCAGCTGAGCATAAGAATATAAAAAATAAATACTCATTGTAATATATGGGCTTCTTACATACTGCATGATCACATAGCAGCTTCTACTAAGTTTAGTACTTAGTTTAACTACATGCATCATGTATGTCACAACTTATACTATATACTATATATATGTGAAAAGAAAAACTACCACATTATCACTTTTCCTGGATAGTCTCTTTCCAAAAACAGAGATACCATATATGCGAGATGTTTCCTCTGGAGGCAAAACAATCCGGAGGTAAACTACTCCCCCAATCGGATCTCCGGGGGGGAGTGTTTCTAGAGGAAATGTCATGCAGGCGTTACAACAAGAAAAAGTGCGAAGATCAGAAGAAACAGCATGGATACAAGATTGGAACATGGAATGTCAGGACCTTGAATCAAGCAGGAAAATTGGAGAATTTGAAAACGGAAATGCAGAAGAATGAAGTGTCTGTGCTAGGTGTCAGCGAAGTGCGGTGGAAAGGACAAGGTGAAATAAGAAGCGGTGATTATACAGTGTATTATTCCGG